CACGCCCCTTTATGAAACGCGTTCAAATTTTTCTTTTCTCACACGTTTCATAACGGGGGGACTAACTTTTGCGGGTTAGTACTGGTTTTTTACCATTTTCTTTCCCCGGTTACCATCACTCCTTATTCCTTCAAATCCTTCAAATAAACGAAATATATAAAAAACGGGGCGTGTCACATTATCCCACGCGCCTTGCCTAGATTTTATTTTATAGACAGTACAAGATATCAAAAATTTATCAGCTGACAAAACGCTTCTGATTTCATGATAAACAAATGATCAGTTGACAACTTTTTCATTTCTTTGACATGAACCGAGAAAAATTAGCACAGAAATTAGGGGCCCTTCAGCTACAGATTTTACGGTATTTCTCAACTTTTAGCGGATTTCTGCAAATATTGAGAAAAGCAACAGTGTGACAGTGCCTATTTGTATTCTGCTTTAAATAGATATTATTGATTCTGCCGCAGTTATTCTTTTTTTATGTTTAAAAACTCATGTGATGTTTTTACATCTTTATATTTTGTCGGATTTATTATGTAATCCTTGAGGATTATCAATCAACGAGTTTCTGTGAAAATATCTACATTTTGAAAAGTAAGGTATGATTGAGTTTTTGTAAATTTTCCGTTTTACGTGTTATTACAGAGATACCAGAAAATTAGACGATAGCCAGCTGTAGAAAGAAATATGTATGTTGAATAATAGCATTGAGAAGTAGATGTGTGGAAAAATCACATAGATTAGGTAAATGTGAAAGCTACAATACGAAGGACACTTTTATTTTACTCAAACTCTTGTATATGAAACTTGTATTTATCAGTTCAATGAGTTTTCCTTATGGGTTGTACTCGATTGGGAGGTTCTTGCGACGAACCATACCGTCACCCTGGAACCGCTCGCGGCGGAATTGCTTGGCAGCTCCGTCTGGGGTGTTGGTCCACTCGACGGTGATACGGTCGTTGTTGGTGTCCTGAAAAATAAAAAAAGATTCAGAAGAATTCCTGTCGAATCCAGAATCCTTACCTCTTGTCCGTAAGCGAAAGCATCGCAAGAGACGGCGAGAAGGACAGCCTCCTTTGGGTCAAGAACTCCGCATGGTGGGTCGACGCCGAGACGCTTCATGTTGGTGGTCTTGATACCGTATCCAATACGACGGGCGGACGAGTTGATCACCTTGATGTGGTAGGTGTGCTTGTCGTCGTATGGAGCATTAAAGACGATCTTGGCGTTTGGTTGGGTTTGGATGTCTCCTGGTGGGACGGATTGAGCCATGTCGATTTGATTGAGTGTGTAGTACTCGATGGAGTACTTCCACTGGTTTCGTTTTGCTTTTATAGCGATTTCTTATCTCTGCTCCAAATCTTTCCCCAGATCTCTTAAACTGATAAGAGAAAAGCTGAAAGTTCACGGGAAAAATTTTTGGGCTTGCTTGCCTACAGCTTAATTTGTTAATAACTTGTAAGCTCAACCAAAGAGATGACAGTCACTTCAGAATACTTTTGGACAATTTTCTTGATAAATGTTCATTTCTCTCAGATTTGTGTTATGAAGTTTGTCGACAGTAAAAATTTATTTCACACACTCAGTTACCTATTCCTTGAGATTAGTAGATGATCTAAAATATGTTATCAGGAAAATATGTTCAAGTGGTGGTCAAACGGCAGAAAGAAATAAGCGGTATGATATTTTGAAGAAAAGACAATAAATTATGGGTTGGGACTCATATACAGATATAGGGTTATGAAGATATTTTAAAGATTAATTGTTCAGTTATGGTTGATTCATCGATCGAGGAAGGATTCCTGATGGAGGCTCCAGTAATTGATTGAGTTATCTGAAATTACTTATGTTTTCAACGAGAATCAAAGAATCGTGTAATATTGCAGAATGAATTGACATTCGTTATATGAGTTACAAGGCAGTGTATAATGATCCTAGCTGAAGTTTGTGCTCGCATAAATTTTGCATGAAATGTTGTACTGAGCTAAAATTTGGAGTGCAAAAAATATAATAATTCATCAGTCAATTGACAAAGTTTCAAAATGCTTAATACATTTTGAGCTGAGTTATCGCTTGTCAAAGTTGACAATAGGAATCGCTTTGAAAATTTCAGTAGATTTGAATCAAACGTAAAATTTTATTTCTACCAAATTTCGTGTTTCCGAGACACTTGTGTCTAAAGATATTCTCGTTTTTATCAGTCCGGGTAATTATGTCTCACCCTGTAACCGATATTATAAAACTAGCTAACCTTTTCATCCGGATTTATTCTTGTTGAACTCTTCTCTGTTGGTGATGCTACGGAGTGGAAATATTCCTCTCTGAAAATTGAAAAAGTAAATAGATAAAAGAACATATGCTGATTACCTGCTCTTGCATAATTTCTGTACGTCTTTCAATGATTTTTTGCTTCCTTTCAATCAAAGTTTGCACCTCGCGTAGGTCTTGATTAATTTTCACCAGTTTCGCCAACTGACAACGCAAGAGCTTTTCACTCCAATATTGCAAAATATGATTGGTTCTCCTGTAGGTTTCCACAGCAACGCGATTTTGCATAATAGCAGTTTGAAGACGTTCTTGCTCCACCTCCAGTGCAATTTCTTTGTTAGTTAGTCGCCTCATAACAGAATTGTAGTTTGTTGAAATACGCAGGATTTCATTAGGCTGGGTGTTAGATGGCATCTTGGAATAGATAAATGAAAGACCTATCAGAATGAGAGTATGGTTCCTCGGAGGGGCGGGATCATTGGTTTTACAACCGTTGATGAGTCACAAAAAAATGTTTATGCGAACTGTTCCTGTGTCGGATGCCGTCCTTTTTCGCGCCGAGCAGAAGGGTGACCGGCATTTCGCGCATAGAATTGACCGGCATGATTTACTGCGCAGAGTGACAGATAATGTAAACAATTTAAAGAGATAGATTCGACAATAAGTCTTTGAGACTATATACAAGAAAATACAGAACAGTTCAGTGATATATACAAAAACGTATTTTTTAGTTTATTGTTCACTATTTCGATCATTTTCAGAAGTCTCGAGCTCGACTGTCAAGTGTGCGATCAGTTTGAAAATTTTGGAGAATGTAAAACAGACCTAGATTGAAAATTTCGCATTCACAGAATTTTTCGAAAACACCAAGTTTTTCAGCTATTCACCAGTTTTTAAAAGACACCTGATTTTTCACATTTTCAGTACAAAATCGAGCAAAAAAGGGTGTCTTTCAGATATTGGCAAATACCTGGAAAACTAGGAGTTTCCAAAAATTCTGCGAATGCAAAGTTTTTCATCTAGGTCTGTATATAAAAAATACACAGTGGAAAAAAAAATCAACAACAAGAAAAATTAAAAATTCATTCTACTAAATATTTATGAGAGGAATCAGATAGGACATGTCGACGGATGGAACATGCTGAAGACTTTTTTGAAATCCATCCCATCCTCTTTATGATCACACATCAGCGTACAGATTTCGGTGCGGTGCGTCATCGTTTTCACGAACGGACGAATCCATCTAAATCAAAATTCATCATTCAAATCAGTAAACTAAAATTGATTCACCCATAGCTTTCTGGAGTATGATCATGAGAATGAAGTTTGAGTCTCCAGTATTTCTCAGGATCTAATGACATCTCCTCGAGAATACTCTTTAGAATTGTCCTTGCGATTTGTGTGTCGTCTGCATACATTGGAGTGATAGTACATTCTCCAGATGGATATACTGAGACGGCTCCAAATCCAACGACTTCTCCGTGGTCGTTGTAGGCGACGCGTCCAAAATCCTCTCTCAATTGTCCTAAAACATATTTTGAACGTTCATATTGGAATATTTTAGAATCGTAATCGACGATGTCTTTGTCAGGTACATCCCGAGCATTCTGCAAATAAAAATCATGCAAAAGTTTCTAAACATCAAAAAATCACCTTTATGAAAATTCCATCGGTATTCAAGTTCTTCGGCATGCACAAATCTCCGAAATCATAATGAGAGACGTAATACTTCTGAAGCATGTCCGTCGAACCGAACATGTGTTTGTAGGCTTTCATAGTTTTGTACGATTTATTAGTGACAAATCCCATCGAATGGTTTCCAACAGAAAATCCTGCATCATAGGATTGGTCAGCGGTTATGGAGAGAATTTGAGATCCATGAACGTCTGGAGATATCCAAAGTTTCCCTCGAAATACTAGGTTCTCCCATCCTTCGTTATGTCTGAATGGATGAAAAACGATATGAGTGTTCGTGGCAACCAATCGATCCGTGTTCCTGACAAAGGTAAACGTCTGATGATAATCGTCTCCGAATGCTTCTTTGAACTTCTTCAGATCCGTTTTCTTAATGTCAGAACGTTGATAATCAACCTATAAATTCTGACATCTTAAAAGTTTCAGTAACAATCAAACCAACAGTTTTACAGAGAAGATCATATTCGCGATCCTGGATGTTTTTGACGACGTGAACGTTGTTGTAAGCAATGGTAATCTGCTTCCCACTTAACGCTGACCGAGAGAAGAAACGGCGACCGATGGTGATCATCAGCGGGTGATCCGTCGAAAGCGTCGGGAAATAAATAAATGAGATCCATGTGGCTGTTTCAACTGAGCAGATTTTTTTCTCCATTGCGACGTGAGTTTTAAAAAACTCCATCTGTTAACCTCAACACCTTATTAACCCAGATTTTGATGAAAATATCGGGATAAGCTGAGAATAGCCTATCTAGTCAAAACTGAAAACTTAAGAATACGCAAACTTTCATCAGTTTCAGTACCAAAAGTCGTGTATCCCTCAGGTAAACGATTCGGACTTAGATCTGAGTTCATTCGGAATTAGATCTGGACTAGATCTAATACCGAAGTTGCCACGAGAAATGCGCCAATGACTCAGCTACCGCGGATGAATTGTTTTATTTTTTTTGTTGTCCTAAATTTTTTTCGTCAGGAAAATGGGTATTTCTCTCAACCTTTGCCTTTTTTTTCGCTCAATTATTTAAACTATATTTTCTGGAACATATTTTAATGTGTTGTGCACGTTTTGGCAAAATTTTAGGTGAATTTTTGGCTCTTTTCTAGTTTAGAGGTCCCAAAAAAATTTAGAGGTCCGAAAAAAAATTAGAGGTCCCAAAATAAAATAGAGGTCCCAAAAAAAATTAGAGGTCCCAAAAAAGTTTAGAGGTCCCAAGAAAAAATAGAGGTCCAAAATACGAAAAACGCGCAGATGTTGGAATAATGTACTAGTATTTGAACTGTGCGAGTAGTTTGAGTTTTAGGGTCTTATAGGATGACATGACTACTCCTAACAATTTTAGCTCCAATTCTCTCGCATCTTGCCGATGAACCGAATTTACATATGAGGAAAATTTGGGCAATACAGTAATCACTCCGTGATTATGCTGTCTCTCAGGCTTAGATAATTGTCAGAAAATATGCATTCCTAAGCCTATTAGAAGTATAAAACATATCATCAACAATTATTTTGCTATAAGACCTCAAAACTTTAAAGGGGGACTCCGACCAAAAATTTTTATTGCATTAAAATGTGTTAAAATTTATCTATTTTTCAAATATTATTGCGAAAAAAATCAAAAAAAATCCGAAATTCCCAAAAAACGCCGTTGAAAAGGAAGAAAATTTAAAAAAGGTGCCGCCGGGGGACGAGGATTTTCAGTGAGAAACCTAGGCCACGGCAGCGGGCG